TCAGGGCAACACCGCTTAAGAATTGATCAGCGTGAATCTTTCCTTAAGGAAACCCGCAATTTGATCATCAACAAACTGGACGGAAGAAAAATCACACAATTGCCATCATAACTGTTCTCGATCCATGTTGATTAACTTGTTCGATATCTTTGATGGGCCTTTGATGTATATTCAAATTCTGATCGATCGATATGTTATTAAAAATGTTGTGAGTTTACAAAAAAAACGCTACTCTGATTAATTAGTGTTGAAAAGCCTTGATGGCCTGATGTTGATGATTTAAGTATATACCCACATAACAGTGAAAGAACATTCATAATCTCAGAATATTCCCTCAAAGTGCTTTTTGGACTGTTTAATGAATATTCTAAGATTGTTTCGATGGAAATATTCATTTTTGAACGTTCTATTTATGTACTAGGAATGTTGCTTCTATGCACCTACCTGAAAGATTATGCTTAGAACCTACTTTATATAATATAAATATCATTAGAATATTGTCATACGAACATTATTATAATGTACCCTAAAAAATGGTATTTCGGCTAATATCTCTATCAAGTATCAAGAATATACCTACCAAGTTGTGCTGAGAAGTTTATGTAGGTAGGTAACCATGATAAGAATATTTTCATATTGTTCACCGAATTATCTAAAGTACCAACTTAAAAATCCTAATTGAACAATTAAACAATAATGCTCTATTTAGAACACTGAAAATACAGGGTGTCCCAGCCGAGAGTGACCCATTTTAAATGCTTATAACTTTTAAACCAGGTGAGCTAGCTACCTGCGGTTTGTGCCATTCGATTTCTCTTGGTCTAAAGTTTTTTCCAGTGGGTTTCAAATTTTTTTGAAACATACAGGGCGAGTAAAAAAAAATCCGTTTTTCAACATCGAAATTCTCCACTTTTTCTAATGGAACACCCTGTATATCACAACGTCAAAAAAAAAATTAATGTTCAAGGTTTCCATGTACCAATAGACATCGTCCCTAAAACTTGAAGTTTTAGCCGAAAAAAAATCAAAATCGAAATCTTGGTATTTTTGCAAACGCATGCAACTTCATGTTGTAGGAACTTGATATCACTATGGCAAACAATTTTGTAACTGTCTAGTTAGATATCAATTAAGTTGAGATACATTTTCCAAGATTTAACGAGTTCCAAAGTATTTTCTCTGGAACTCATTAAATAGAGATACCCCAACAGTAACAGTTTGGTGAGCAATCTCTATTGAGAAAAAATACAGACCATTTTCATTGATGAACCAACAATAACAGAAACTGTATACACTGATATGTTCTTTTTCCTATAGTTGAGACAGGAGGTTATCTTGAATGATATTAGTGTTTCACAAGATTCTTGCAAATTTCTTGTTCTTGTCTTGTTCTTGCTGCAAGAACAAGACAAGACTCTCTTAAATTTCTTGTCTTGCAAAGCAAGACAAGACAAGAAGTTGCCAAGCAAGACAAGAAATTATTCTGCAAGACTCTTGCAATCTTGCAAGAAATCTTGCAAAAGAATGAAGCCTCCTTCTCTGCATATTTTTGAATTATTTTGGCAACGTTGCGGCAGTTAACAACGAGATAAAAATGTCAGCATATCATAGTTTGTAAAGTTTAAGGCATTTTTTTGCGACAAAACGTTTTGAAATTGTAGTTTCAAAACACTCAAACAGATGTCAGTTTCTAACAGTTCGTGCAGCAAGTATGGCTAGGAAAATTTTTGGTCATGATGGACAACGACACTGTACACACAATATTGAATTTTAAGCTCAATGTGAAGGCCTTTCCGTTTTCAATCATCAAATAATCAAGTCGATTTTTTTTTAAGGTCTGTTAGCCTTGTAGTGCATAAAATAGTGACGTTAAAGCTGAAACTGCTTTAAAACGGTTTTGGAAACTATTTCCTCGAAAAAAAAAAAAAGACTTTGCTTTAAACCAGGAAACATGACAACCACGTTATCAATGAGAATGACACCAATCATAATCTTAAGGGCCCCACAAACTATGATGAAACACGTCGTTCCATAACCCAAGTATGTGGTAGAAAACCGTCGTGTTTTTCTACCACACACGCCCCCGACACGCTTTTGGACGTAATGAATCAAGCAAGAGTCTTGTAGCAAGAATCTTGCAACAAGACTCTTGCAAGCAAGACTCTGGCTATGACGTCACAAAACAAATAATGCAAGAACAAGAAATTGCAAGAAATCTTGTTCGCAAGACAAGATTTTTTTCTGCAAGAGTCGGGCAAGACAAGATTGAATTTCATTTCTTGTCTTGCTTTGCAAGACAAGACAAGAATAGGTCCAGCAAGACAAGAAATCTTGTCTTGTGAAACACTAAATGATATCTATTTTCAGCAGGATGATGCCCCCACCTCATTATTCATTAATAGCAAGGGAATCACTAGATATGACATTTGGGGAAAGACGGATAAGGAGAGCTGGCCGCTGGCCTATAGAATGGACACCTTACTCTCTTGACTTGAGAGTTCTAGACTCTTTTCTCTGGCGTTATGTCAAGGAAAGATGCGGCAATACTTTGCTAAAATAGCCTGAAAGATCTTAAGTGGAACATTTGTAATGTCATTGAAGCGATTCTCCAGGAAATGTTACACAATTCATTCAACTATTTATTGATCCACAAATGCCTGGAACCGAATGGCTAACATATACATATAGGTACCTACAGCTTTTTGTATAGTTTTATGCATTGTTATTCACTTTTTATTAGGCAAACATAAGGTTGAAGCTTTGAAAATAGGTGTTTGCAAAAATACCAAGATTTCGAATTTGATTTTTTACGGCTAAAACTTCAAGTTTTAGGGACGATGTCTATTGGTACATGCATACCTTAAACATGAATCTATTTTTTGACGTTGCGATATACAGGGCGTTCCATTGAAAATAGTGGAGAATTTCGATGTTGAAAAACGGATTTTTTTTTACTCGCCCTGTATAAGTTTTAAAAAAATTTGAAACCTACTAGAAAAAACTTTAGACCAAGAGAAATCGAATGGCACAAACCGCAGGTAGCTAGCACACCTGGTTTAAAAGTTATAAGCATTTAAAATGGGTCACTCTCGGCTGGGACACCCTGTATTATAGGTATATTCTTTTACTTTTGCTTTGTCGGACTTCCAAGAGAAGGAGCCACCCGCTTTTAAAGATTTACATCTTGCCTAGCGTTTGAATTACCTTGCAACCTATTTCTCTCAGTTGGCGTGCTTACCGCAAGGAGAGCATAACAAGCTCGAAACCGGAGCTTTGGTTAAATGCTTGTGTTTTCCAAAGAAGTTTTCCAACAACTCTTTCACTGCCTTTAATATAAAAGGACTGAGAGGAGCATTATTTGGAAGCGAAAATTTTAACATTCCAAGTATATCCTTAGAATCAAACAAGAATGTTATGTCTAGGATGCATATTGAGAATGATAGATGTATATAGATACATTCTAAGAATATTTCAAGCATATTGGTATAATATGCTTTTGAGAACATAACTATAATGTCATAGAAATATTCTTTAAATGTGAGAATATACATTTCATGCATATTTTTAGAATCAAACAGGAATATTCTTTTCAGGATATACTGAGAATCTCATAGGTATACTCTAGGAATATCCTAATGGATTTCCCAGGAAGTTCTTGGGTATTGCAAAGACTATTTCTACAATCTTTTTTCAGAACATTCTCCAGGACATTCGCAATGGTTTTGGCGAACATTCTAAGCACGTTCCTCCTAAAAAAAGAACATTCTCATTACATTCTAAGGTTGCAATTTTGTTATGTGGGTAGGTAATGTCTGCCCAGCGACTCTGTGTCTACGGGGCAACGGAGAGGGGAATGCAGTTGTAAAAAAAATGGCTGATTTCATTCATAAAATTCCCAGTTGCGTGCGAACCTTTTTGGAAGTGTTGTCATATTGCAACTCGTATACGAAAATCGACAATGATCAAACCTCCGCCACTGGATATTTCAATATAAATCGATATTCCAAGATGGGAGGATAAAATGACGTAAGCCCTGGCCAATAGCGAGACATAAGGTGACGTTAACCCATTGACAACCGCATGGTTCCCCCTGGCAACGGTAATCATGTCAAAAACTCCACCAATCAGGTTCATCCAGGCCGGATGCTTGCCGGATGGTATCTTTAGAAAATATTTTTTACAATAGACCAAATTGAAGAAATTAGGATTAAAATAGGAGTAGTAGATCTAACAACCACGTTAAAATATTTAACGTTTTATTATTGTTATCAATATTTTGTTACTAAAAAATGGATTTTCAAATGAACTATACTTCATGCCTAGTATTTTCGCTTTTTTATAATTAAACGTGACAACATGGCACATTTATGTCCGAATTCCTTCCGTAGACTCAGATCCGCTGGGAAAACGATATACTATGTCATGTGAAGTCAGTTGCTTCATAATAAGGAAGTTTTTGCTCCAATAAACGTTATACGTTCTAAAGTTAAAATTGTATAGAAACAAATGTTAAACAAGTATTTGCACAAAAGTAATTTATTGGAAAAAAAATGCATTGTTCTTTATGTTTTAGTTAAGTCTATTCAAAGTTTTCATTAGGAAGATGACTGACATTTTCAAAAACTAAAAATTTTCAAACATTATATTAATTTGTTCAATTTAAAAATATATACTTTTTCCAATGAATTTTTCAGGCTGCGATAATATAAGAACGAGAACAACGAACAATGGGACACCCTGTATAGGGTATAATAGTAGAATACATGAATTTTTGATAAGCCCCATACCTTCGACCATCCATTAGTATAGACCAGTGATACTCACCAACTGAAATTTTCATTCATTTCTCGCTCGATTCCCGGCAACGCTTGCGCTTCCATCCCACTCAATACTTTGCACGCTATACCCGTCCCTTTCCATCCAATTGTCAAGAAAAGAATCGACAGAAATTGAACAAGGATCGTGAGTAAATTTGAATTATAACTTTTACTCAGTCTAGCAGCGCGATTCAAGGCGATTTGTGTGTGCTGAGTGAACGAATTTTGGAGGCAAAAAACCGGTTACTTTTTTTTTCGAATCATGGCTTCTAACCGCGCTACCAAAAGTGGATTTGCTGCTGAGGCACAACGAAAAGTAAGTGCAATTTACTTCAATTTCAATGTATTTTCGAAAATCTACAACAGGTAGAATATGGAAGTTTTTTTTTTTTTTTTTTTGAAAAATATCAAATTTTGTTTTACCAACTTGATGGTATTTTCAACATCAACAAACGAAGTTTTAAAATGAAGATTCCGGACTAAAAATTGAAAATGACATCAAGGAAATAATTAATTTTACAATTATTGCGTTTGCCTATGATTTCAATCTATCTGTCCTAGGTATAGAAAATCTTCTGGTCTAACACTTTGCAACTGTGTTTTCTATAGGTAACTACCAATTACCAATAACATTTGCTTAGCCAGAATTTAAATAGCACTTCAAAGAAATGTATAAAAGCACTTTTTTCCAATTCGGTACTTGAGCAATGAATGTTCAAAAATTAATTAAACAACTGTCAACCACTACAACAGGTAGGTATACCCAAGCTGAAGTGTAAAATGTAGACTTAATGACTTTTTGTAATTTCCTGTCTTCAGCTACACCATATAGGGTAGAATACCTGTGTAAGCAAAATTACTGTTGCATGAAGTGTTTCTTTCTTTTGGGCGTTTTGATAAATTTTTTCCCAGGTGATAACATGTGTCCATCCTGTCCTTGCGCATTTCTATAATTTGCATAATTTTTCTGACTGGACAAGTTATATTTAAAAATGCAACACTAAGTACCTACGTATTCTCTAGAATCACGCGAGGAGATAGTTTGCAAAATTTGCGTATTTTTACTAAATACTATATTGCGCATCTAATGTTTCCCCAGTTGTTCCAGGTACAGAAAAAAAAATTATACACAAAAGTTATTAGGTTAGTAGAGCAAGAAATTTCTAAAACGAGACACCCTTCATTATTTTTACCAGTACCTCTTATCTAATATCCATAAATATGTAATTAGTTTTCGGATTGGTGGCGCTAAAAGAAAAAACATGCAAGTTTTCAGGGAAAGTGTAAGGGAGATTTTCAAGAAGTTTAGAGTTTAGGGAAATCTTTGGATTTATGAGAAATGAAATAATGCCTGTGAATTTTCTTACCAACAATTAAATAAATCATTTTGACAAAACTTCCTTATTAAGGATTGATTTTTCAGATAATATTCTTTGTATTTATATTAAATGTACAGGAATGGCGAACAAGCAGATAGGACCTTGCGATACCTATATAAGTTAATAATCTACACCGTATCTAACCTACCTAATGCGTGTTTCCGGCATAAAAATGGACTTAATCTATATAAACATAGGACTATAGGTAATAAAATAGTACGAACATAAACCTAGATTGACCATAGGTCCTTTACTACCGTAACCGAAAAAGTAGCTTCAAAGCTCTCGTTTATTTGAAATTTTACGGGAAACTATAAATGTTTTATTTTTCATGTAGTTCAAAATCTCGAATGCTACAAAGCGATATTGCTTGTAATGAGTCGTTAAGGGCACAGGGACTAATTTTATTTCTTAGTGCCCACTACCGTAAACTTCTTCGGAGTTTTATACACATATCTACTTCAGTTATTTCACTGTCGGACTCATATTAAATAGTCTTATTTGACTGAACATTTATTGGATCTTTTTTCATTTCTTGATTGGAAATTACAGGGTTCTCTTCCAATTTCCCTTCTTTTTAACTGAATCTAGAAATCTTTTTTTTTCTGTAAGTAATGTGTCCCATGTCAGAAATTCAAAAGCAAATATCTTGTTCTTATTTGACTAATGACAGTTTATTATTAATGAACGAGAACGACACAAAAAGTATGAAACACTCCACCAACTTTCACTAGTGTCCAATTTTAACGTTGGCCGGACGTTTTTCTACGACTTCTATCTGACCTTATGATTGGTCGTGTAAGACGTTTCAAAAACTTTTCAGAGGTCACAAGATATAAAGATGGAAACGACGGATTGAAGCCTTTAATGTAACATTGAATTTGGTACAATACTATAATTATGACGTCCCGTTTACGATTTTCATCTTGCCTTATGATTGGTCGTATTAAACGACTTTTTTTTTCATTTATTTCGTCAAAATTAAGCTAGATATAAAGGTCTGATAGGACGACGTCACAACGTAATTTTAACGAAAAATCATTGACGGTCACTTATCTGCACTTCCGGCGACGTTGTATTTGGCTAATACGTAGTCGCAGGGACATGACGAGACTATTATACCCGAGATCTACTCTTTTTCAAATTCCCAATTAACACAATTCAGAACTCATTTAGAAATTTTGATGAGAAAAAAAATCCAAAAGGAAATCTTATTTTTCGTTCTGGAAATTTTTTGAAATCTTGACTCGCCCATGAATAACTGCCTATATCTTTAATGAAATTTGAGAACTACCTACTATTATACATCATTGGAAAGAGTAATCAATTCTCTATAAACGTTGAAAAATTGGTTTCTGTAGCTTGCAAATTTTCCGAGATATTCAGCTTCAAAGTTGAAATTTAGTCGACATTCTGTCTAAAACTTCAAATTCGATTTTCTCAAAAAAAAATCCGATAAAGATCAACTCTCCATTGTTCCATGATTGACTAGGTTAATCCTAAATTCCAATGTCAAAAATTGTATTCATTTACAGGGGTTGCTCAATAAGTCCGACAGACGAATTTGATTATTATTTCGGTTAGTTCAAGCCTTTTGGACTTCTGTTTTATAAATCTATATGTCCGCCTAATGGTTAACCATTAGGCGGACTAGGCGGCCGCCTAGGGCCCGGGCACTCAATGGGGCCCGAAATTCACTCTGGAATCAAATATCTTATTTTGGCAACCTTGCGCCCTGAGACGCCCCACACCACCCGAACTACGCACACTATCGGCAACACTGTTATGTAGCTGTGGGATTCGCAACTCAGGTAGAGTCCATCCAACCTTATGTCATGTTGCTGATGAACATCCGTTAAACGAGTAATAGATAATAGATACGAGATGTTCCACTACCCAGACAGCACACAAAGTCTTGAAGACGTCTTTTCTAGGGTCTGTATTACGACTATTAGGTACGTCTGAACGTCTGAAGACCAAAAAAAGACGCCTAGAAGACGTTGTTTTGAAGATGTCCATATAATCGTAAATTCATATCTTTATTCTCTTCTTCAAGCCTAAAAGTGAATAATTATTTATGTATTGAAAAGAGATTCAAAACGTCTTTGCGATATCTCTTTGAAGATTTGAAGTAGGTAGTTTTTAGAATGTCTTAATGCTGAAAACATCTCTAGGCAGATCTCTGGAAGACGTTGGGTTTTGTTACATTACGATGTCTTCAAGATGTCTTTGAGACGTAGGCAAGACGCCTTGAATGTCGTTTATGGACATCTTAGGGACGTCTTTGGGAAAAATTTCCCACCGAATTCGTTTCTCATTTAATTTAGAAGTTACTGGAAACCATTTAAAATGCTACAGAACACTTTAGAACTTTAATAGACCTTTTGGAAAGTTCAAAACATTTAAAATTAGATTCAGAATTTCCAAAAGCATTCTGTAGCGCTTCAGAAAATTTTGGAAATTTCAGAATCATTTTAGAATGCCCCAGAACATTCAAACACCGATTTCCAAAAGCATTTTAGAACAACTCAGAAGGTTGAAACCCATTTTAGGACGCTCCAAAACACTCAAACTCAGACACTCTGGAATCCCCAGAAACATTTTGAAAAGCGCCAGAATCTTAGGATTCAGATTAAAAATTACAAAGCAAGCAAGAGCAAATTTTGATTGCTGTAAAGCTTTAGAACTCTTTAAAGGCATTTAAAACAATTCAAATCTAAATCAGAATTTTCAGGAGTATTTTGGAGCAATTGAGAAACTTCAGAGTTATTTTAGAACAATTTCAAAGTTCTAAATTGAATCCTAATTTAGAACTGGAAACCTTTTAGAAGTTTTTTGAACCAATTTAAAACTTTTTGGAGCTTCAATAGGGCTCTAAAATACTTAAAAATCTGTCAGAACAATTTAGAAATTACTGAAAAACTTCTAGAATGCTCCAGAACTCTTCAAGTCAAGTTAGAACACTTTAGAACTGCAAAAAGCCATTTAGAACGTTCCAAAACAGTTTCCAGCAGCATTTTGAAAGGCTTTTTTTTTCAATTTGGACAAAAACAGTAAAAAGTTACTTTGGGCTAAGGCCCCATACCTACTGCCGCCTAGGGTTCGGTAGAGCCTTGAACCGGCGCTGTCTATATGTACCATTGGCGTCGGCGTAGATTTCTACATCCAACAATTACGGTCTCACTAGCATTCAAGCATTCAGCAATCCAATGTCTGTTATTCCAGGAAACATTACTAATTTGGACCTAAGTAACGGTACCTAGGTATAGGTATCAAGAGTTTGGTCATATTTTTTCCAGTTTTAGTCGCTCAATTTCAAGAGTAAATTCCTTCAGTTCATCTTTCATATCCCTTATTTTTTTAGTCAGTTTCCATTATGAAGTTTTGCAATTTTTCTTCTTGGTAGAACCAAATTGCTCATTAAGATTGTGAAGTATGGGCTTCAAATACGTGGTCTTTAACATTTTCGGTTTACTTATTACGACCATTTCAAGAGCCGGGAATAGATAAAAATTGAACTTGAAAAATTGAAAAATACCTAGAGAGAAAAAATTCAAGAAAAATTGAGAAAAATCTGGTTGACAAGTAGACATAAAATATTTAATTTCTAGTCCAAACTCCTGAACATTCTAATAGAGAAATTTACAAAAAAACGAAAACTCAAGAGAAGGGAATAGACAAAAATTAGAATAGAAAAATTTAGAAATTAAAAGAAGAAATATAAGAAAAATTAGGACAAAATTGGTAAATAAATGGAAATTAATGTTTTTTCTATTCCAGGCTCTTGATTTTTTTTTATTTCGACCATTTCAAGAGCCGGGAATAGAGAGAAGAAATTTGAGAAAAAAACTAGTACACAAGTAGACACAAAATATTTTATTTCTAGTCCAAACTCATGAATTTTCTCCATTTAGACTTGAGAAATATGGAGAGGAAA